CGGATATATATATATATAAAGATATTATAAATCATATAATTATTTTTTTAATGATTTGGATTTAGAGTAACTCTTTTCAACTTACACATGTGTTATTTTTTTTTGTTTTTCCTGGAGTATCCACCGCAGATAGCGGTGACTAATCTCCTTACTACGTTGGAGACACCTCAAAGGGTGGGATAACTGGCCTCAAGATTTAACGCAGCTGCATACACAAGGTAGGATTCGAAGCCCTAACTTTGTTTAAGCGTGAATCAACCTCTACCGCTGAACCACACGCCTGGAGTTTACACATGTGTTATTTGATTCTTTTCAAAATAAAATATATAAATAAATATAAAAGGATTATGGTTTGAGATATTCACGTAAGAAATTGTTACTTATCAAATCAAATTAACTTCAAAAATTAAAATTAAGAAGTATGTTTGAAAGAATAAATTAAGGGATCTAACTTACTTAATTGAGTAGATTGGGTATATGTTATAGACTCTTTTAATACTCATATTTAATTTTCATAGATAAAAATATATTTAAAAGAAATAAAAAATATATTTTTTAAAACAATGATAATTATTCCTATTCACATGTCATAACTAAAATTTTATGAATAATTGTTTAGTGTGTGAAAATTTTTTAAAAAAAATTTTCAAAGGAGAAGTTTTTGAAGCTTTTCTTTGATAAGAGAGTTTTTAGAATTCTTTTTAGTCTCTTTGTCTATTTTAATTTATAATTATTTTTAAATTAAAATTAAAAGTTATCAATAATTAAAAAAATTCTTTTACTATAATATAATTTTTTCTCAAATACAAAATATTATTTACATGTTTAAAAAATTTACTTATATAAATTTTAAATTAATATAATTTATATATATATATATATATATTAAAATATAATATTATTTATACGTAGAATTTATTAGAAATTCTTATTTATACATAATAAACATTTAGCCTATACTTTACACGGACTATAATACTAGTTATAAAATTAAATACTCACTCAATTTTTTTAAACTTTTTTCCTCTCAATATTTTATTTCAAAAAACATGTGTGTCTCTTTTCCTTAATTCATCACAAATTTAAAATATAAATTACATATTTAAAATCATTTATTAATTATGAATTTTAATTATAATTTATCTTATTTATTAAAAATTAAGCTTAAATATATTTTTAGTCTTTCAAATTTAAGGTAAATTTATTTTTAATCTCTCAAATTTAAAATTATTTTTTTAGTCATTTTTTCAAAAATCCTATTTAACCTCTCATGTTACTTATAACATATTTAAAAATGACAAATTAAAATAGTTATGCAATATTATTTAAGTTTAATATGATATTTTATTAACAAGGATATTCATAGGTAGACTTTATGTGACAATATTTAACAAATTTTTAAACAAAATTTGTGTATAAAAATTAAAATAATTTTTTTGAAATTGTAAAGACTAAAAAGATTAGTTTCAACTTTGAGAAATAAAAAAAAAATTTAACTTAGAAGAATTAAAAATATATTTAAATTTAAATTTTTTTATTTATTATAAATTTAAATTATATAAAACAAAATATTTATCCTTTATATTTCACATATTGAATTCCTAGTCATTTATCAAATGCAACTTGTTTCCTTCTTTCATAATAATAAATAATAAATAGCTTTTTAACACAAAACTTATTATTTTTACGTTAGCGTAAAAAAAAGTACCTCATGCTTTCGGGTGTTTTGTTTTAAAAACGAAAATAAATGATAAAATAATAAAAATTAAATATATGTGACTGTTTAATTCTCATAGAGTATGGATAATTTTTAGTAATTATTTAGCAAGTGTATGAAACTTGAAAAATTGTACAAATAAAATACTATTTTTTTTATAAAATTATTTGATTAACAAATATGACACAAGTCCTCAATAAAACTTGGTCAAATTCAAAATAAAAGCATATATCTTTTTATTTATTTATGAATAAGATATCAACGATAATAATATAGATCAAATTCTAACTCTCGTTAGTCTAATCAAACACTTAATTACTAAGCAAAACGTATCTCAACAAAAATTACATATATAATAGTTGATCGATTTATTTTAACAAAAACATAAATTATAAATTACAATAAAAAAAATCACATATATATATATATATATATATATTGTACTATCATATATTTACTGATGTAAGAGTTTTAAAGATTTAATATCTTTTTAATGTTTGAAATATAAAGTTGTTTTTTTGTTTTGATTCGCTGAATTATTTTTACAGACCCCTATTTTTTCTTCTTTCGTTTCATTTTAGCTGATGTTACCATTTCAATCATTATAATATTATAAATTTTTAATATAAATATCTCATATCGAAATATTTTATTTAAGTTCACATATTTTTTAATTAGTCATTATATTTTACTTATTTAATCTTTTCTTATAATTTTAAATAGACATTTTTAATTTTTAAACTGATCTTTTTAATTATATTTAATCCTTGTAATTTAAGATAAGCCTTTTTAATTTTTATAGTTTGTAATTTTTTTTTTTAATATTTATCATTATTTTTTTTTAAAACATTGTTTTAGACACTTTGTGTCTCTTTCCTACTCTCACCTATGATACATATTGCTAAGATACATTTTTTATACTCTTAGAAAATTAAAAACTTCTAAAACATCAACCCAAAATATATTATATTATAAAAAAATATTAACAAAAAGAACTAAAAGAATTAAAAAAAAACTGTAAATATGGAAACTAAAAAAATTATTTCAAAGTACAGGGACTAAAAAGATTGAAAAAGATATAAAAATTAAAAAAATCTATTTTAAATTATAAAGACAAAAAGATAAAGTTAATAAAATTATAGAAAATAAAAATATGAAAAAATATATAAAAATTAAATAAAAAATATAAAAAACAAAGATATTTCTTATATTAAAAAAAATGTCAACAAAATATATATATTAAAACTCGATATATCACTTTTATTAATAATATAAATATAAAAAAAATAAAAATTTATAAGAAAATAGAGAAAAAAGCATTAATAAGAGAAGAAAGATATAAAGTAATTCCCGGTTGAAGAATTTGAAAAATGAAAAGCCGAGTGATTTCCCGCTTATATGCATCCACTGATTCTACTCACCTCAGTCAAACCCTTTCCCCATCGCCAAATTTCTTCCTTTTCCATTAATTAATCCCTCAGCCATGTCCACTCGCCGCGCCGCCGGAGACGACGGCGCCACCCTCCGTCCCCGTCCCCTCTCCGCCTCTCGCAGGTTCCCCTCTCCCTCCCTCTCTCTCCAAAAAGAAAACTCCAACCCTCGCCGCCCCACCCTCCCTCGCGGCCGCAGCTCCAGCCCCTCCGATCTCCCCCGCTCCCGCCCCTCCCTCGACCGCTCCTCCTCCCACAAGCCCACCCACGACCCCACCCCTAAACCTAAGCCCAAGCCCAAGCCCAAACCCACCGCCCCAAACCCCAAACCTTCCACCACCACCAGGTCCACCATCAACAATTCCCAAGACACCACAACCACAACCACAACCAACGCCAAATACCCTAGCAAACTTCACGAGAAGCTTGCTTTCCTCGAAGGCAAAGTCAAGAGAATCGCTTCCGACATAAAGAAGACAAAGGAGATGCTCGACCTCAACAACCCCGACGCCTCCAAGCTCATTCTCTCCGACATTCAGGACAAGATCTCCGGCATCGAGAAGGCCATGGTCCATGTCGTTCCAAACCAAAACGACGCCGTTGTCGAAGCCGTCCAGAGCGAGCCCTTGCTCAAAGGTCTCAAATTGAACACTCATGAACTCGAGGCGCGTTTGTTCCCTCACCAGAAACTGCTCCGAGATCGGGTGGTGGGCAAGGAAAACGACAAGGACTCTGCGCTGGAAGCTAAGGTGTTGAGTCCGGTTGATGATAACTCGGTTGCGGTTCAGTTCTTGGCTTTGATTGATAAGGAGAATGCAGGGGGAGAAGTGAAGGAAAAGGGTGGTGGGAGTGGTGCTTTGAGTGAAAGGAAGTGTGGCATTGATGAGCTGCTTGAGGCGGATGAGAAGCTTGAGGAGTTTGATGATGATCAGGAGAATAAGGAAGGGGCGGCTATTGAGGAGGAGATGGATGAGGCTTTTAATTTCAGGCTCAAAGGGATTGGTGACAAGGTTGCCTCCAGCGGGTGGTTCGTGTCCGAAGGCGAGGCCGTCCTCCTTGCTCACCATGATGGTTCTTGCACCTATTATGATATTGCCAATTGTGAGGTATGTGTTCTTAGTTTAATTGTAGTTGAATTGTGGTGTGGTGTTAATGATGTTGACTATGAGTCTGTTTGGATGTAAGTTAGAAGTATTTATGAGAGCTTCTCTATTGAAAATAAAGAGTATTTCAAATAAAGAAGTTCTCAAAAGTGCTTTTAAGCTTGTATCCAAACGGTCTCTGTCTTAATGTAGGTGGTTCATGTGATGGATGATTCTGATCTTATGTTTTGTTCTTCATTTAGTTTTGTGCTTAATTAGATTTAAGTGGTATGATGTGGAATTATGAATGTTTTCCATGAAGAGGAATGTGAGTTGATATGAATGGTCTTCTTAAAATGTTAACAAGTGTCATTATTTGGTTTTCCCAAGTTCATTTTTGATTTGAATGTAGATAGTTGAATATGGAGGTAGGTCATTGATGAGATGGTTGTTTATCATCTCTTTATATTGTGCTATCAATTTGTTGTGTGTCGATTCAGTTTATTTTGGAAGGATGAGATGCTTTGACATTATTTATTTTGGAAGTGCTTTTGAGAAAAAAGTAATTTGTTTTTTCATGTAAAGGTTTCCAAACCGGTGCAAAGAAGCTAAGGCATGACATGAATGTTTAGTTTACCATTAAAAGGAATGATAATTGATATTTGAAATTGATGCAAGAATGAAAAAGCAATTTCTTGCTGAAAGTTTGTTTTTCCTTCAGGAAAAATGTCTTTTGATTTGCATATAAATAGTGCTGAATATTGAGATGGCTGATTCTTTTGATGGTTAATTATCTTCGTGTAATATGTTGTTACCCGTTTAGATTTAAGTGATATGATGCGAATGTTCTCCATAAGGCATAGTAATGGTTCATATGGATGTTCTCCATAAATGTCAGTGAGTGTCATTAATTTTTTTCTCATCAAAATCTTCTTTTGATTTGAATGTAGATAGTGATGAATATGAGAAAGGTCATTCATATGATTATTGATTACCATTTTGTAAGAATAGTATTTTAATTTTTGAGGGCCTTCTAAAGAGATTTTGAAAAGAAATAAAAGCATTTTTTTCAGTTATAAAAGTTCTTCAAAAGGTGCAAAGTAGCCGAGGCATGATATGGCATAGATGTTTTCCTTGAAAAGGTAATAATAGTTCATATTTGGAATCGGTAAAAGAATGAAGAAGCATTTTCGAGCTGAAAATTTGTTTTTCCTTCAGGAGAACAGCGTCTTTTGATTTACATATAAATAATGCTGAATGTTAAGGTAGCGGATTCTTTTGATGGTTAATTATCTTCGTTTATCCGTTTAGATTTAAGTGATATGATCTGAATGTTCTCCATAAAACATGTAATGGTACATATGGATGTTCTCCAGTGAGTGTCATTAATTTTTGTTTCATTAAAATCTTCTTTTGATTTGAATGTAGATAGTGATGAATACTGAGAAAGGTCATTCATAAGATTATTGATTATTTTTGTAAGAACATTAGTTTATTTTTTGAGGGCTTCCTAAAGAGATTTTGAAAATAAAAGAAAAGCCTCGTTTTTTAGTTAAAAAAAGGTCTTCATAAGGTGAAAAGTTGCCGAGGCATGTTATGGCATAGACGTTTTCTATGAAAAGGTAATAATAGTTCATATTTGGAATTGATAAAAGAATGAAGAAGCATTTTCGAGCTGAAAGTTGGTTTTTCCTTCAGGAGTTTTTTTTTGTTTTTTGATTTACATAAAAATAGTGCAGAATATTGAGGTAGCGGTCTCTGTTGATGGTTAAATATATTCGTTTTATAAGTAGTTACCTATTTAGATTTAAGTTAGATTTTAGATATGATATGAATATTCTCCATTAAACGTAATAATGGATATTCTCCATAAATGGCTCTAAGTGTCATTATTTTTTGTCTCATCAAGATCTTTTGATTAGAATTGTATATAATAATGAATACTGAGAAAGGTTTCATAAGATTGTTGATATTATTTTCTAATAGTAGTTTATTTTCTGAGTGCCTACTAAAGAGATTTTGAAAAAAAAATAGTTAAAAAAAGTTTTCGAAAGTTGCAAAGTAGCCAGGGCATGATATGACAAAGATGTTTTCCATGAAAAAGTAATAATAGTTCATATGTGACAAACAGAAGCATTTTTGCGGCTGACAATTCATCATTCTTCCAGGAAAAAGTTGTATATATGCCTCCTCCAGAAGTTTCACCTAATACATGGAGAGATTGTTGGGTGATTCGTGCCCCTGGTGCAGATGGTTGCTCTGGAAGGTTTGTTGTAGCTGCATCAGCTGGGAATACTATGGATTCAGGGTTTTGCTCGTGGGATTTTTACACCAAGGAAGTGCGAGCTTTACACGTTGATAATGGAACAACCACCTCAAGAACTGCACTTAGACCCTTGCCTAACAACATTGTGCAAAGAAGAAATTCCACATCTAGCATTGTGGCTGCAGAAGCCAAGCAGTGGTGTTATAGGCCCTGTGGACCTCTTATCATCTCTACTGCCAGCTCACAGAGAGCTGTGAAAGTTTTTGATGTTCGTGATGGAGAACAAATCATGAAATGGGATGTTCAGAAGCCTGTTCTAGCAATGGATTATTCCAGCCCTTTGCAATGGAGGAACAGAGGGAAAGTAGTGGTAGCTGAAGCTGAATCTATTTCTTTGTGGGATGTGAACTCACTTAACCCTCAAGCACTGCTCTCTGTTCCTTCAGGTGGTCGAAAAGTTTCTGCTCTCCATGTGAGCAACAGTGATGCAGAATTGGGTGGAGGGGTTAGGAAAAGGTGAGTTTGGTTTTAACCTTAACTTCTTGCTTATAGTCTTTACCAAACATGTTCTGTTTCTGCATTTCACGGTTTTCCTCTTAACAGCTTGGTGGCATGGTGCCGTATTTTTTATTCAGTAAAACTATATCTAAATTACTTACTGTAATCATTCTATCTGCTAACAGCTGAAACCCATGTATCTGTACTCTTATTGTAGTTATCTTGTCATCATAGGAAAGCTCCTGGCCCAATATTACCATTTCATCTCATTATTTATTAAGAATCTGGAAAGGACCAAACTTAGGACAAATTCATTGTGTCCTAGCTGTCAAGTTCTCCAATCAAATAATGATATGTGGATAGTTTTTAAAAATTCTGCAACATGCATTTAGTGAAAGTTATTCAACATTGGAAAGAACATTGACTAGTCTTCATGTAATTGGATAACTAGGGGCAGGAATATAAAGAGCTTGATAATTTTCTTTAGTGCTTTGAGATTCATGCATTTTTAGTTCACTATTATCTTAACCCTACTTGTAACCTGGTTTAGAAATATAATAATGCAGAGTAAGCTCATCAGAGGCTGAAGGAAACGATGGTGTGTTCTGCACCTCAGATTCTATTAATGTCTTGGACTTTCGCCAGCCATCTGGTGTAGGCCTTAGGATATCAAAACATGGTGTCAATGTACAATCTGTTTTCTCTCGTGGGGATTCTATTTTCCTTGGATGCTCCAGCTCAAGTTCAATGGGAAAGAAGCAACCCTCATCACTGCTGCAACAATTTTCACTCCGCAGACAAGGCCTATTTGCCACCTATGCTCTTCCAGACTCCAATGCACACTCGCATCATGCAGCAATCTCCCAAGTTTGGGGTAATTCTGACTTTGTCATGGGTGTTAGTGGCCTAGGGCTATTTGTGTTTGATGCACTAAAAGATGATGCACTAAGGGTTCTCAACATGGATTACTCCAATGCTCAAAGTTCTAGAGAAGTTATTGGCCCAGATGACATGTATTGGCCTTCCTTTGATTATCTAGGATCTCGTGCTCTTCTGATATCAAGGGATCGACCAGCTATGTGGAGGCATTTAATAGCTTGATAGTTATGATTTTCTAGTAACTGCAAGCTTTACTTGTGTACAATTACGAAACAGGAATTTGCTTATGGCTTAAGGATGTTTTGCTGCTTTTGTTTTTACTTGGTATGCTTTTTAAGGACTTTAGTTTTGTTGTTCATTAGAGGAGACCATGTTAGATGTGGATGCTTGGTGTTAGTATTTTATGCAATAGCCTCATACTTTTCCAGGGTGACCGCTTGTTACTGAACAGTCTGCTAAAGCTGAAAGGAATATATATTTATGCCAACTCACTGTTCTCTGATTCTGTACATTGTCATATTCAATCTATTTCGAAATAAAATGATCACCCGAAAAACTTCGGTTACATCCGTAATAGCAAATGTAATTCTGACTTTACATTTGACTTGTCAGATGCATACTAAATGAGCTTAATTTGTGTGCGTGTGTTGTGAAAGTGATTTTTCACCAGGGTGAAACCTTTAAACTTGTTACATCTTCGTAGTTAATTTAATTTGATTACCAAAATATACCATTATCAACTTGATATTGTGTTTTCCAAAGGATCAGTGCGCGGGGTTTGACACTTATCTGTGTGTGAATAGTGTTTTTTCAGTCGGGTGAAACTTTAAAATTGTTACATAATCACATAAAATGTAGATCGATTGATATCCTTATTTTTAAAATAGGATGATATCAATATTTGAGTTTTGTATTACAAATTTTCAATGTATAGAGAGCTCACATTATACTCCTTTTTATAAATATATCTGTACAACAATTTAATACAAAATAGAAATTCCATCATAACCAACTTAACTTCACATCAGGACTTTAGACTCAAAAATATGTTAGGCCAACTAGGATATGTGCGTGTAGAAAGGTGTTGATGTTCAGAAAGAATTTGTGCTTCAGAAAAATAAAGAAAAATACATGCACCTTTAAATTCTATTGTAATGTGTAATATCAAAAATACCACAAATCGCTAAACGAATATATCGTCTGAATCTATTGTAATTAAACTTAGATACAAATTGAACATATAAAAAGAGATAAAAAGTGATTTACTTTAATGGCGGCAGTAAGACAAACATTGATCAACACAGGATGCAGGTACTTACAGACATCGATGTTGAGGAAAGATTTAGAAAAAAACATGACAATGTAAATAGACGAAAACCATTTAGAAAAAGTTGGTGCTTTGGTTGAGGGTGTTGTTAATGACAGCTGTGACAGTAGGGATGATACATTTTTATAATATTGTTTTATGCACTTACATGAAAAAATATAGAATTATTTGTTTTAGAAACTAAACACGTGGTTCACTATTTTTTAATTACAATTTACAAAATATTCAATACAAGACTTACAAATTGGTTATTAAAACCATTTCAACAGAACAGAAATAGATGACAAAAGAGGAGAAAATAATTCTTTTTCTTCTTCTTTTGCTGCTTAGAATGTTGATCTAGAACGTGATGAAATCCAAAGGCTGAGCCAATTCATTGGACAAAATGGCATCTGTTACGCATTTTCTTTTGGGCATTACAATTGGTTTCTGCTGATACTTCAAAATTGGTATCCAATGTGTAGTGAGGGATGTCACGTTCAAAATTTAGATAAAGTTTCTTAGTTGCAGCCGGTAATATTCTCAATTGAAGTTTTATAACTTCAATTGAGAATAACACCAACCGCATCTAAAACCTGTAACTAATAAGTTTTATCCAATTTGGACTTATTCCCTTTGCGCTATTGTCTACTCTTTAACTGTGAGAACACCCTCAGCTGTCTGAGTCTATCTCACAAAATGGTAGTGGAACTGCCTTCACTGCCCGGAAATGACCTACGTTGTTTATATGCTCATTCTCCAACCTTTTCAAAAAAAGTTGTTTAGTTCATAAAAACAAAGATTAAAAGTATAAAGTTTTAAGAAGATACATAATTTAAAGTTTAAACATAATTCCAAAACCCTTATGTTCGAGTAGTTTAGAGTTCTATTATTGCTTCTCTCATTTTCTAGTTACGGTATTATTGGCTATAAGCTTTCCGTTAGTTTGCACCTAACTTAGCCTTGTGGGATGATTTGGTTGTTTACAACTACAAGTACCAACAGATTGTCACTTTAGATGTGATATTAGAACAACACATCTTATATTATAGTCGTGAGCAAACAAAATTGTTACTAAAAACATAAAAATTAGATTTTTTCCCCCTCCTTTCTTCCGGAGTGATCTCACGTGTAAGATAAATATAATGATGTATATAACTGAAAATACAAGTCAATTTTATTAAATTAATTTAGATTCATAATTTACTTCTTAAAACGTAATATTATAGTCTACCTTAATGATATTATTATTAGATCTATTAAATTATTTGTTATCGAATAATTATTAAACTATTTACATATCTTTAGTTCTTAATATAAGAAATATGTATTAAATATCTCATATCGATAAATGAAATGACTATAATAATATATATAAATAAAAAATGATATTCATTTTATATACTAGTTTTATGAAAATTAAGTTAAATTCGTAATTTACTATTGTAAGATCTTTTGTTTTATTCTTTAATTAGAAATGTGGTTTTAATTTAATAACTCATGTAATAAAACTTTGCAATAAAAATCAACATAGGTTAACGAAATAAATTTTCAATTTTGATTATGATTAGAAAACAACATTAAAAAAGAAACACTTAAAAAAGGAATTGTACTTAAGTTATTTTCATCATAAAAATGAATGAAGACATTTTAAGCTCTTGTAAAAAGTTTAGAATGTACCTGTAGAAATTCCAATGTCCTCGTCGAATAACCTCTAGTGAAGCCAACAAAAAGTCTAGTAGCCTTGTTTGAACAGGTCCCACTTTGAAATGCATGATAGTCTCCACCCAAGCCACTCTCAGTACAACATTCAATGCCTGAAAGGTGAAATGAAATCCAACACCCTTTATGATTAAAAGACTAACTTATGATTGTAATTAATATTCATATTGCAAAGATGTTATTAAAAGATAACTTACAATAGACATGTAGTATATGCTTTTATTCTTTAGAATTAGATCATCTCTGAGCCATGTGTTTTTGGAGTTGGGTTTGAAAAACCCCCAGTCCTTGACAAAATCCCAATACAATTGATAAGCTGTGGCAACCACAGAAGTGGTCAAGACTATAGCAAACCATAGATTGTTATCTTGTCTGCTATATGTGACTCTAGCTCCTGCTGCAACCATTGCTGAAACATACTTCCCCATGTTAGCCAAATGGTTAACATCACCATCATCAAACCATCTTCTTGCACACTGGTAATGTCATTCAAGTAGCATGTGTTAGTTGGAAACATATAAAAAAATATTCTTATAGCAAATATGTTATATCCCTAATTCCAGAAGCAGTTGATTAATTTAATAGGTTGCTGTGTCAATAAAGAATCTAAATTACCAAGCAGCACAAAAATCATACCTGCAATGCACGCCACCAATATGGCAAAAATGAGATGAGATATGTTATTTCTACATATAGCCTTCCAGAATGGCAGGCCTCAGGGTGGGGTGACTTGAATGCTCTAGCAAAAATGTGACAACCTGTTGTTTCCAAATGCCTTAGCAATGGAATCTGCAACCAATAATACAATTTAGAGTGTGTTTGGATAATATTATTTTTAGACTTTTGGTTGTTTGTGAAATAAACTGGTTGTCTAAGACAACAATTGAAATTTGAAAATGGTTTTTTTTTTTCATTTAAAAAAGTTATTTTTAGAATTTTAAAGTTTGAAACTTATGACTACTTTTTAAAAATTTTTTTATCAAAAAACTTATTTACTACATAAAAATTGATATTTTGATGTACTTAAACGAAATTAAATGTCTCAAAAATCATTTTTCAGCAATTTTACCTTAACAAAAATTTATTCTTGTTATAATCAATTATAATAACGAGTAATGTCGATTATGATGCATATTGAGAAGCAACGGGAAACTAAATAAACTTGTAGAATATATAATAAGGTCACCTGACTAGTTAGTTGGTCAGCCATAAAAAAGTCTACCAGCAGAACCTGTAGGAATATAATAGTAAATTAAATTAAACGATGAAAACCTCAATTTGTACATGGCTACATGCAATTTGGCACATCAATGTATCCAACATGTTCCAATATATGGAAGAAGTTTACCTTATAAAATGGAGAGCAAGCTATGTTACGAATAACACGAATGAAGCAGAAACGAGTAGGGCGATAAAAAATGTCAAATGGGCAAATGAGAAGACCAACAAAGAACTGAAAAATAGCAGTTCATAATTAGCCAAAGATTTAACTTGAACACTATAAATTCTACCAGAAATGTTAACAATACTCTTTCTAACACTCTCTTTATTATAGTTTTAAATTTGTTAAAAATCACAAATTTTATAAATATTACATTTCTTTTGATAAGTCTTTCTCTTAATTTAGTGGTAGGATTCATCAAAATTTATGAATTTCAACTAACAGTAGAGAAAATATTAGTAATTAAGAAAGCGTCACTAGAATATTTCTTGACTCTATTCTAAATCACTTTCTGGAATTTCAAGCAAACCAAGTTATTTTATCTTTGAAGTAACATGGATAAGTAATAATCATTTGATTTGACTAACCATAAAAATAATTCCAGGAATGGCATCAACTTGGACAGGAGAAAAACCTGCAGCCCTTAGGAGCAGGTGTATCACCATTGCCCCAAACACAGTTGTCATTAGGGTAGTGCACATCAAAAATGCATCTCTGTGTTTCAGTGCTGTGCTTGGTGAGAATTCAAATATGAAATTATGGTTGATTCTTGTACTCTTCCACATGTACAGGTTGCATCCATACATAAACAAGTGTAGGCTTAACAACGCAAACACACTGCAACAAAATTATTGTAACCATTAGTATTTAGTGCAGCTATAGCATATATAGGTGTTTTTGTTTTACATTCTACAGCTTTGATGTTTAAGTCAGTTTGCATTTATGTGCAGTTTAATGTTTTTTGATTACAAAAGTGAGTTAGAAAAGATGAGTATAGCTGAAACTAAAACAGGAAAACTTTATTTATATATATATATATATATATATATATATATA